GACACCCCCGGTTTTTGGGAACCCCTGGATGGGGAATTTGGGACACCCCCGGTTTTTGGGGACTCAGGGACCCCCCCGGATGAGCCCCTCCCAGTTTTCCCAGTCCCAGGACAGCCCTCGGGGGTCCCCATCCCGCAGGACACGATGGGACAATGCCACCAGTGCCACCCTCCTGGCTGGGCACTGCCCTGGTGACACCGAGGGTGACACCGAGGGTGACCAGCGGGGTGCTGGGGGTGGGGGCGGCGGGGCCGTGACCCCCTCCCCGCTGTAATTAGAGAGCGAAGGGCGTTAATTAACGCTGGGCAGAGCCAGAAGGGGCCCGGCCGAGCTGGGGAAGAAATCCCGGGGCTCCCCAACCCCCGAGAAGGGGAAGTGGGGGCAGAAAAAGACCCGACCCCCCCCCCAAAAAAAAAAAAATAAAATTCCAGGGGTTCTGTGTTGTTTTACTTCACTTGTGGGATCCTCTCTCACCTGGGGTTCCCCCAATTTTGGGGCAAGAGCTGGAAGTGGAGGACACACCCCAAAAAAAAAAAAAAAAAAAATCATCCCACTTCACCCCAAACCCCCTCATCCCCTCCAGCCCCTCGGGACCCTTCCCCACGGGCTGGGAACGGCGGGCCGGGATTATGAGGAATACTAATGAATTCATTAGGCGGCTCCGTGGCTCCTTTCCCGGCAGATTGCGGCCGATAAATCTGCCTGTTGCCGACCCCCAACCCTGACAGATGGCTCCAACAGGTCCCGGCACCCGCACAAAAGGCCCGGTGGGCGCCCCGGGCTCCCCCCGGGACCCCCGAGGCTTTGTCTGGGGCAGCCGCTCGCTGATCCCATTGTGCGGGGGCCCCCGCAACTGTTGGGGTTGCGGAGGGCGCGGCCCCCCCCGGGAACGCTCGGCAAAGATGTGCCCTGGCCTCGAGGGCTCCTCTGCCCTTGTCCCCTCCTTCCCTTCCGTTATTCCTTTCTCTTCTTTTATCCCTTTCCCTTCTCCTCTTCTCGTCCCTCATTTCTTTCCCTTTCCATTGTCCCTTTTCCTTCTTATCCCCTTCCCTTATCCCCTTCTTTTTCCTTTTCTTTATCTCCTTCCTCTTCCCTTCTTTTATCCCTTTTCCTTTT